AGGACAGGAAACAAACTTACGGGGAAACGTGACGAGAGCTGACAGGATACATGAACAGACAGAACCAGAATTGAGCTGATGGACAGGACTGACCCGAAATGACGATGACGAACCAACAACCACATGGGGGAAACACAAAGACTTATATACAGACTGGAACTAATGAGTAACTGGGGACAGGTGGCACAAGACAAACAGGTGAACCTGATGAGGGCAGGAAGTAAACAGGTGAAAACACACAGGGAGCAAGGACTACAAAATAAAACAGGAAGCACTGAACAAACTTATCAACGAGAACAAAATACAATAACCAAGACAGGGATGAACACAGGAGMGGGACACAGAGCAACACAGGAGAATCACCGGGTGGAACATAGCGAGGGACGAGGGGAACACAGGAGAGGGACAATGAAAATACAAAACTGTGACAAAGAATAATGCAACCTGAATAGTTCTGTTGGCTTTATTCTGCAGTCATGCAGAAGTAGCTCTTGAAAAGTTGTGCTTACATACATACAGTAATAATATGAAGCCAGGGAAGAAAGTAGAGATTATTTTCAAGTTAAGAACTAAGCGATCCTTCCAAAATAACAGGAAACTTGAGCAGATGGTTGGATGAGTTTTGCCCCAGTTATTAAAAACGTATCTCACCACCAGAGGGAGCCATGTACCCTTAGAAGGAGGACTGCTGATAAATGATGTTCTCTCCTCTCACTGGTTCTTCTCAGTATTGTTGTTCTGCAGACATAGTATTGCTCCCACAGATTCCTTGTTGTTCATTTTTCAGACACTTCAATGTGTCAGATAAAAAAAAGTTGTTTTCTATCCTCTAATATTCATTGGACTTGTGTTCACAGGCTGTAGTCTATGTGTGGGCTAAGAGCAAAATGAAACAGAATCATAATGTTGAAGGTGCCCAGCCACAGGTGATGCTACGTTGATTGAAAATCTCAATTCCTTCTGATCAAGTGACTATTTTTCAGATTAAATTTTTTTCATAAGTACTTCTCAGCTATCTGAGAACAAAAACTATCTTGTTGCCGAATAGCCACCGTGGCTGGTAGAGTGAATAAGTCACTGTTTCACTATTTTACAACCAAACAGATTTTTATAACAGAGTAGGAACCCCCCCCAAATAACGTTTGGTTTCCTGCCAGAGCGACTGGTGCCGTGTATCATGCCTAAAGTAGCCTGTGTTTTATCGCAGCTTCTTTTTTTAGCTTAGCCTTTGTTTCACTCAGTTGTTTTATACCAGTGACTGCTCATAGCATCAACATTGATTTTGTTGTGTGGCAGAAATGTACCCAATAGTCCTCCTCCATGGAGGATGTAGGCATGTGGGTGGATAATGAGCACTTGGTATATATTGTGTGTTTGTGCATGCGTAGGTGTGTGTCCGTATGTGTGTGTTGTGACTGGGGGAGCTTGTGTGGGCTGGTGGCTCCTCGAGTTCATGGTTTCATGAATATTGTGTTGTGGACCGAATCCCCATGTAGCTAAGCACAGACGGTGGGAGAGGGAAAAAAGTCGACTAATTTGACTCGGCAAAGATGAGGCTCTGCATTAAGTCGTTCATCAGACTCTATCCTTATTATATCCTCTGATCCATGTTACCTCAGAGATCCCGCCAAATACAGGTAACCTGCTGCTCTGTCTAATTGTTCTGTTGATGAAATGGTCCTGCATGCTGCTGTAGAGCCAAAACTAAACCTTATGCATAACATTTCTCAGTGTTTTCTCTTGCGCAATTCAGCTAAGTGTCTAATTACTTTCCAATATTTTTGTAAATTGCATTTTCAGGAAGAAGTTACAATTGTGTGCATTGACAGAATTGCTTAATACTACAAATTTCCAATGAGCTTTGGGTGAAGCAGTGATTAGAAATTGCTGTTTTATTGGAGGATCTGGGCTTGAGCCTCCTTTACTCATGTCTCATCCTCGTGTCTCAGCTCCTGTCAGTAGGTTTCTCGAGAGCTCATATGTGAGAGGATACAGTAGGTCTGCATTTATGTTGCGCTTTTCTCAACTCAGAGCTTTTCAAACTGCAAATCTTATTCACATACACATTCATTACAACCTCATCATTTAGAGATGACACAGTCAAAAATCTTATTTTGGTGTCTTGCCCAAGGACACTTAAACATGCAGGGATTGAACCCCCAACCTTGTGGTTAGTGGACGCCCTCCTAAGCCTCAGCCGTCCGGTGCATACGATTCAGGCTCAAGCTTGATTTTATAGGACTAATAATAACTTCCTGATCAGCTGGACAAGCATTTTCTCTGAATTAGTTAAGAGCCACGTGAAGCAGAAAAAAGTAGAAGAAGAACAAAACAAGAAGAAAGAAGAAAACATCAGTCAAAGACTTCAGATTAAACATTTCATAATTTGTATTCTCTCTAAAGACATGAAACACAGTAGAGCCGTCCCCGGTGCTGTTTTATTTCAATAAAAACTTTCACTTGCACTTTCTCTTCGGATCGACAAACCAATCACTGAACTGACGGACGGACTTTTGATTCCTTCCTCCTAGCTTCCTTTCTCCTATATGTACATCAGGACTGGAACGACGGACCTTGATCATTTTCCCGGTCAAGGGCTGCAGGACGGTAGGAGGCATAGTTAGAACAAAAAGCACCTTATAGCGGTCTTATAGCGACCTCTGACATTGTCTGAGTGGGAGGACGTGATCAGAGAACCTTTATCTTTAGGTGTTAGCATTTGATAGTTTTTGTGCTTGTCAGCCACAAGTGACATTTAACTCCCACCATCTAAAAAAACATCAATATTCAAGTCACAATATCAATATTCTGAAATCACAGACAAAAAAACAGTCTTTAAGCAGTAGGTGTCGAGTCAGAGGTCATGACATCATGCCAGCGATGGTTCTGTTACCATTTAAATATTCATCAGGAGCCATCACTTAAAATAGACTACCGTCAAACTGCTTCGCATATGATATTTAAATTCCAAAGAGATCTGCACTCGCTGAAGTGCGGTTAAAAAAATATTCATTATTCATCAGTAACCATTCTCTGCAGGTTTCCTTTGTACTCACAACTCTTTCTCTTCTCCTCTGTCTCTCCAGAACACACAAACACTCACACGCTGTGTCTTATTCACTTTCTCTATTCATTGCTTTATTCTCTGTATATTTTCTTTGTGTCTCTTCCTACAGTGTCCTCACCACCGAGCAGACTTTACAAACAGGGACTGTTGAATACGTTATTGGCGTACACACAAAGAGCCTGTTCTGATCTTAATCTCAAAAAATGAAGATCCTTGATAAAGCTCTGTTGCTCTGTTCCCCCTCCATCTATCCCCGCCACCTATTATCTCTCCTTCTCGTCTTTCGCGACCAGCTCCTTCCTTCTTACACTCCATCCTGAAAGCGTGTGCATGAATATTGATGTTAATTACCCCGCGCCTGGAAATAGCTGTTCAACCTGTGATTTTCCCCAAGGAATTTGTGCAACACACACATACAGAAGAACACACCCACAAAGGAGGATATCATAGAGGTGAATTTCCTGTTCACCAGCATATGAGCTTAAATCAGGGGAGGGTCTCTGTGGAATTACATCTTTTATCGCAAAGAGCAAAAGTTTTCCCCAAACGCTGTAGTTCAGTGTGGCGGGTATTAGGCCTTACATAAAAATATTCTGGTAACAGCTAACTGTCTCGTCTGAACCACTACTGTTGAGGCTGATGCTACTTCATTGTGGGAGGTGAGATAAAACCTAGGGATTCTGTGGGCTGGACAAACTGTTCAAGTTTTCCAGCATTGCCATTTGTAAAAAGAAGAAAAAAAAAAACAGAGTTGTTCTTTTAGAAACAAAAGGACGTTATTCTAAACTTTTAAAGGTTTTGTTGATTTGTTTGTACATGAGTTTTGTTTTAGGTATTAGTGGAGTTAGTGCAAACCCAACCATGACAGAAATCAAATCAAAATATAATTCAGCAAGGGACACCGTGTCTGAAGGGCGGTACTTGAAAGTAGAGTGACGGAAAGAGACCTGAGCTAATTTTCAAACACTCATAGTGTTGCATTTAGTTTTTCAAACAGAAACTGCCAGGAAACTTGTGTTGCAAATGAAGAAACAAAGTGGTTGAGAGGGGAGCTATTTATTGCTCCTATATATTGTACTGCCTGTTTTAAAAAGAAAATAATCATGTTTCTTTTTAAAACAATTGCAACACACCACAAACTTTTTCTTCTCGGACTCAAACTAAATACCAAAGGGTCATGGAGGATGATTGTGGTGAAGACTGTACCTGGTGTGTTATTGGCCACAAGACTGATACTCTGACAACTAATCCATAAAAATTTTTTTATAAGTACAGCTATTATGAATTTAAAGTCTTACACGAGAGGAAAAACACATTTAAATATGTTTATGTTAACAGGTTGACAGAGAGTTGAGTCACTCTGCAGAGAGGTCTGTAGGGGGAGTTTCACTTTCTCAGGTATTTTATGATTTTGGCAGCAGCTCACACGATCAGATAACAGAACGACCAGTTATATTTCAGAACTGATGAAATATGTTCATCAGGGGGTTTAATTAAGTTTGTGCTGCCTCACGGCAAACGGGTTGATGCTCGGCCAGTTACATATCAGTTACAGCCAGTACATTTGTCAATGTCAGATATAGTTTTTCTTCACTTTGACATGTGCTCTGAGGTACTATCTCACAATAGGACTAATATATATCTCATGAAGACACAAATGTTCTCTCCTTCACAATATCCATAAGCCCACAGTGTGTGTTTTACTTGATCACACAAAAACTTAAACAAATAGTCCAAAACCCAAAGATATTCACAAAAAAAAGATTTAAAACTAAAATTAGAAACTTCTCACTTTGGAGAATATTATTTTTTATTTTTGCTTGACAAAATAAAGATCTCTGTCAACTAATACATGTATTTACTAATCTTTAGGCACAATTAAATTGTCATCTTTGGAATTCACCTGTAAGTATTTAACTTTGTTTCCAAACAGCGTATTCTCCTCCCAGAGGCGGTGGAAGAGGTTTTGTGGGGACGTCACCCATGAAGGCCTCACCCATGAAGGCCTCACCCATGAAGTCTTCACCCATGATGATGTCACCCATGAAGGCTTCACCCATGAAGGCCTCACCCATGATGTCACCCATGAAGGCTTCACCCATGATGATGTCACCCATGAAGTTTTCGCCCATGAAGACGTCACCCATGAAGTTTTCGCCCATGAAGGCTACCGACTCTTCTCCAGGTTCTTCAACAAAAGTTATGCCTATTGAAACCCTCCACCCCTACCTAAGCAGGTAAGTGTGTGTGTGTGTGTGTGTGTGTGTGTGTGTGTGTGTGTGTGTGTGTGTTTTTGTTTTTGTTTTTGTTTTTGTGACTTCTTTCACATACATCTGTGGTATTTCTAAGATAATTCAAACACAACAAATTTATTTCTGCAGTGGATAGTTATAAAGTGCTCAACCTGACTTTCGTCCATTTCCTCTCTAACTCCAAACAAACTCTTTTGTGTACACGTTATTCATGATATTTCACTTTGCTTGCGTTTCCCCTTGTGCTCATTCATTACCCTGACTATTTACTATCATGCTGGGCTTTCACATCTGTTTGCGGCCATTTCTTAGTGCCACTTTGGGGCATGTGTGTATATGCGTATGTGCGAGCATTCATTTTTTTAATACATATCGTGCGCGCTGATTATTCCATTTGCATAGAAATGAAATGGAATGACCGATCTTGCCTCAGAAACTGACACCTAAATGGCAGGTACCGCTGGGTCTTTCTGATTTGCTGCTGAGCTTTTCTGTTATTTGATCCAGTGGGGGTTTGACCAACCTCTTGTTTTTTTTACCCACATCTTTCCCTCTCACAATTTCTTCACCTCCTCCAGGGTTAAATGTTACTGCAGTCTTGCTTCTTATCATTTCATTAGGCTTATGTCTCTGCCTCTGACCTTAAAGTTGGACCACAAAAAGACAAAAGCACAGAAATGGCAAGATGTAGTTGTCCAGATTGGAGTAAAGTTACCCTGTCAACTCTCCATCTATGTTTGGGCTCTGATAACGTGGCTTTGTTTGAAATTGCACGCTGTAAAGATAACTGCGCCTGCAGGTGTTGTAATAAACTGATGACTGCTCTAACTTTGATGTTGGGGAGTACCTACGGTGAGTTAAAATGGATGACTTCAGCAGCGGTGGTTCTTCTGTGTGCGGTTGTGTTAAATGAAAAGGGCTGGTGTGTGTTTGTGTGTCACAAGTGCTACATACATACAGTAGATTATATGGTGATGATTTGTATGTGCACGCGGTCCTTTATGGCCATTTGCATGGCTTTCTCATTCCTTTTTGCTGGTATTAAGTAACAGCATCTAGAGAAGACTATAATTGGCTTTTGGCTGCCATAAACCTTGTTGGAGCAGTCTTATCCATACTGAGCAGGGAATGGGGTTCACTCTGGGCCAGCAGCTGCTCTCATGATAGGGGATTTAATTGCAGGCAAAGTTATGGTATGAATATCCTCCACTGCACAATTATCAACGCAGTCAAAAAAGCTCACTGCTGCATAAACTGCAGAGCTTGGCTGGCTGTTGTTAAAAACGGAAGGAGAGGCACATTTTAAATGCATCCTAGAGTTGGAAGATGTACAACACCTAGTTCACTCTTTGAAAAGAAAGTTGCTGGATGGTTTCCTTTTTTTTTTTTTYTTTCAAGGAACTTTAAAAAGACTCTCGTCCAATTTCCTCGGGAATTGTTCTCTTGCGTTGTTGTGTTACACATTGGTGACTGATGTCAGCAGAGTTGGGATGCTCATTAACAAAAAAAGATTTTCAAAGTGTCTCTGCAGCAGTCTTCTCTGTTTGTGCTGACCTTTAGACCACATCCTCTAGTTAACTTGCACATAACTGTGTTGGTCAAAGAGAACCTTTAAAATGTATTTATTAACAAGTACATGCTGTATATTTATTGGTCTTTACACAACAGAAAACTGTGGATGAAAATAGAAGATTCAACTTTTTCAAATAGCACATAGCTGTAAAGCTGATAGAGAAGTTTTCTCTATCAGCAAATTAATTCATATCAAGGTCAATTTTTTTATTTGAAAATGATTGAGAAAATGATTGATCAACTGTTAAGTTCTGATTTAGTATTACTGATGTCTACCCTGTGTATTCCTAGATGGACTATCAGAGCCCGAGTTACCAACAAGTCCAATATCCGCACCTGGAGTAACTCTAAAGGAGAGGGCCAGCTCTTCACCTTTGAAATAGTGGATGAGAGTGTGAGTAGAGTAGTGAGGCCTAAATATCTCTTTATTGCATGTCAATGTACATCACAAATGGCTGTTTTTCTTTTTATTCATCCCACAAAATGTCTTTATGGAAATGTGCTGGTCGACAGGGAGAAATCAGGGTCACAGCATTCAACAAGGAAGTGGACAAGTTTTTCTCTTTAGTGGAGCAAGGCAAGGTGAGCATGTTCCACTCCCACATATCCATCCACATATTAGGCAATAAGAGTCTCTTGGAAACCTCAAAAAAAACATAATGTTTGCATGTAGAACTTTATCTTTAGGTTACAATAAATTCACAGAACACTTGCAGACTATGCCTCAGTCACAGGCATCTATTTTGTATCCACATAGTGCTGCAAACAAGTGTATCATTTGTAAAGTAGTGTCTAATAAACCGCTTCTACAAAATCCCCCATGCCTGCTGGACTTCTGTCCAATCACTGTGCTATAGGCAAGTAGAAGAGGATTTTATGGAAGGGATTTATTAAGTCATATTTTACTGAAATATATGTGTTTGAGACATATTGAGCAGTTGGGTGGATAATATTTTATTGTTTGGGTGTTGTTAAAACATCTGGTTATCTTGTGGCGGCCAGTCTAGCAGGCTGAGCTCTCTGTGGAGTATGTATATAAAGTTTGTCTCTCAATGCACTGGACTCCGCATCTGTATTTTCTCTGGAGGATGTGCATGTGTGAACCTCTTTATATGGAGAGATTATATCTTTTAAATAAACGTATCCTCTAAGATATGAAAGGATAAGTTTAGGTTGTTATCTCTCTTTACACCATACTCACATTTCCTGTCCAATGGAAAACAATATGTACTTCCAGAGGCTTCTTTGTGTTGGTTGCAGGTGGGTATCATCACACCACAAGGGGAATGATCAATATCTCTCACAACATGTAGATATTATATCTATCTTAGATTAGAAAACGGCTTATAAGAGTTAATAGGTATGAACTTGAACTTGTAGCCAAAACACTTGGTGGAAGAACAACATTGACTGACAAAAGATAAAGTTGAATGTAAGATGAGGTGTTTAGATACATAATGCCACAGTAAGAGAGCAGATTACAGTCGTCAGTTGTCACCAGTTTCAGTGACGTGCCCTCAGAACATGCCCTTTGCATGTTCCCCTATATCTGTGCGATTGCAGCCAGGTAGGACACATGCTAAAGCCCATGCTCAATTCAGTCTGTCCCACAGAGCTTAATGACTCAATTAACCCCGGCCATCATTTTGTTAGTCGCACTGATTCAGGTATCAGCAACTGGCTGTGACTCCCAACACAGCCCCAGATCCAATTTGTGCCCCCTGCCCCTCAAAGATAAATAAAGGGATGAATCAGTCTTCCCTTCGTGGTCTGACTATTGATGGAATAGCAAGTTGGTGTGACTGGCTCTGACTGGGCTGAATGCTTATCACATTAGTTTCATGCTCCTATCTTTGTGTGTGGTAAATCAGAGAGAAGTGAAGGAGAGAGAGTGAGCCACAGATACAAACTCAGAGGCAGAGAGAGAGAGAATGATAATGGACGGTGATCTGGAAGAGTAAATGAAGAAGTGAGCCCTGCCGATCGAGTTTAAATTGTTCTGTTTAGCACACTTACTCACAGTTTCTGGTGAATTAGAGAAGTGATGGGGCTGATACGACACCACATCTTAAATGGACTTGAAGGTTTTTTTATTCTTATTAAGAGGTTCTGGTGGAACAGAAGTTTTATTGTAATAACCATTTCCTTGGCAGGATCAATAAAGTGGTCGCCCAATTGGATCAGTCATAGTTGCTCCAGACTTACGGGAATAACCATTTTGATGGCACCTCATTCATCTGTTCCCTACAGGTATACTACATCTCCAAGGCTACACTGAAGGTGGCCAACAAGCAGTACACCAAAGTGAAGAATCAGTATGAAATAACACTTCATGCCCAATCGTCCGTTGTGTTGTGCGATGACAGCCAGGGAGTCCCCACACTGCACTGTGACTTTGTGCCCATTGCAGAGCTGGAAAACAGAGACAAAGACGCCATCATTGGTAAGACAAGTTCATATCTGTGAGACCTAATTTCTACATTTCATACACCAATAAAAGAGAAGCTAAACAGTGAGTGAGTAGGTGCAGTCTAAAGTCATTCGGGACTCAATCTGAGGAGCTAAATATTCGATCACAAATCACAATCAAATCTCAAAAAACATTTTCTGCCATCTGATTGAGAGTTGTGTCAAGCCAATCAGCACTCTGTGCAAATGTTATATGAGTCTCTGCATCTCCAAACCTTGTGATTAAGGACTGAAACAGAGTGTTGATGAGAGATTCAGTAATTGTAAAACCTAGTGTGGCACATTAGAACTGTCAGGTTAAGATGATGAGGACTGTCAATCTTTTGCAGCTCAATTTACTTGGACGGATGTCAATGTAAAGAAAGATCTTTCCATAACACATAAGTCCTCTTAAGTGAGGATGTTTGTCCATGAAATGTGTTCAGTCACATATAAATGCCCCTAAAATTGCAATAAACTCAAGAGCAACCTGCTGTGCTCTGTGTGGGAAGCTTTAATTCACAAAAATGTTTCCCTTGTGCCATAGAGCTTGAAGTCCTGCTGTCAGAGACAAAAAACAAGTTCTGCCGTGTTGGTTTAGAGGAAGGGGACCTGAAACAATAAGGAAAGTCATTGACGTCATTGAGCAGCACAACAATGGCACAAAAATATGAGTGACTGTTCTGACATGACATAGCTGCTCAAAGATGTCTTTCTTCTGCAAAGTGGTCCATGACTAATGTGAGAGGCAATCAAGGAGATGTGACAATCGTGTAGCTGTTAGATGAGACAGCCTAAAGTCTAATATAGAGATCTTACATTGTCAGGTGCAGCTGAGGACTTTTCTTGACAGCTACCTGCACAAAGATCCTCAGGCAAATGTTGGGTTGATACAATTTTCCAACAACCTGCTGAACTGTATATGTTTGTTTAATTTTAGATGCCAATAAAATCAGCATATGGAAATCTTCTCAAACCATGATGATGATAATAATGTGATCATCCTGAGGATTTTGCAATAATTTAGTTTGAATTGATTTACAGGCATTAGGCATTATAACTTAATTTTGTTTGTTCTCATAACAAAAACTGGTGAATGCCACAGATTCTTTTAAATCACTGGTATGTGCCGCTTCAGAATGAATCACTCTGAGTAACCAAAAATTGGGCTGCTATTGTCATGCAAGTTGTTGCCAGTATTTTAATCATAGACTGTAAATAAAGATGGATGCTACGTTTCCACTTCCTCACAACATCCAGACATGAATTTGTGTATGACATTTGACCTTGTTTTGTTCTATTATATCAAAATACTAATTAAAAGCATCAATAAGAACTACCTAAAATGACAGAAACCAAATTTGATGAATACTTATTTGACGTGTACTATTTTTAGTTTTGCCCATTACCTATTCCGCAGCCAGCCACCAGGTGGTGATCAAGACTTTTTGGCGTCATCCATCTTTATAAACAGATTTGAACATGTGGGTTATCAGCTGAACCATCTCTCCGTTCAGTCGAATGAAGTTAATAGACAGACTCACATCTGTCAGTTGTGAACCAGATTTCATGGAAGAATACATTATGACTGGGTCATCAGAAGGTTAATTCAGGCAGACAGTAAGGGGGAGAGATAAAGAGAGGATGATGCTCATTCCACTGTTTTAGTTGGGGTGTCTGCCCTCTGTGCCTGACAGGTAAGTGTTATCTCTGCGACAGGTAAATTGGGATGGTCCATGTGTAGATTGGGGTTGAACGTGGTGATTCAACAATGTGCTCAACGTCATAAATGCTATGATGCACATGTAGGATAGTGGTGTCTCTGTAGCTGTGGCAATTAGGATGTTAATTTCTTTTATTTTAGAATCGTTAGTATTTTTAGAAACTGCTCTTGGTCTTAGAAAATGGTCTGTGTAGGAGATTTTTGTCACAGCGCCAGTAGTGTGAACTTTTTCGACTCGCTTTAATCAGTTTTGTCTTTGTTTTACTTATGAATAGGGATGAGTATAATTTAATAGTTTTCTTTACTAGTGACGTTTTGATACAGAGTTTAGATAATTTACTTCTGAGAAATGCAAACATGCTATTTCTACAAAAGCCCCTGGTTCTTCAACAACACAATTATAACTGTAAGATTTAGTTCAAATCAGTGGACCCGTTCTTTTTAATTTAAACTGAGAACTATGTGAATAAACATAATTGGAACTTGAAAGTTTCTGATACTTGGTATTCAAACTAATTTCAGTCTGTACCCAACAGATAACAGGTTTTCAAAGCAAGATGAACATGTGCTAAAGTAGAGTGAAAGCGGAGCACGAAGCTCGGCTTAAAAGGGACGTTTCCAACCAAATCTTGTTTGGGTTCAAATTATTGCTCTACTGATTTTACATGGGTTTGAAGTTGCCTTTCTCACTAGACCTATCAGCACAGGTCCATGTGGTCTCTTGTACCTGTGATCACACATCCAGATGGGATTGGTGTATTGCATAGTTGAATAGTTTTTTTTACTTCACTGCATACGGTCATGAAAAACATGCAGCAACTGCTGGGTAGCACCATATGGAGGGCTATTGATTCCTTTAAGTGCTGGACATAGAGAACTCAATGGTGGAATCTACTGAGGTTTGAGCATTGTGGGTTAATATTTGAGCAGTAATATTACATGATTACATTAGCTTAGAGAAATACAGGGCAGCACAGCAGAGCATTACACAGTTAAGGGATGCACTGAGCGGTTTACCTGGAGGAGTGTGTTTCTGTTGGTTGCAGAGGGGCAGCATTACATGTCCCGGGCATCATCTGTTGTCTCTCTGTTCACACTCTCTCCACTCACTCCCTTTCTGCTCCTTTGTTAAATAGGGGATTATAACATGGTAATGAGAACTGTCAGCCTGTTCCTGTGGTGATAATAGAGTTCAGAGGTGGGTGACATCGTTTCAATCATAATGGAATTAAGGAGAGCCGGGAGAGTGTAGACAGAGAGCAAGGGAGGACTAGAGTGAGCAAGTTTAAAAAAAGGTTAGCAGACGGGAGGATGGAGTTCACAGCATGACTGGTTTCAAAAGTCTATATTATAATTCTGTCCAGTCATCTTATCCAATGCATGGGCACTAGTCCTGATGGCATGAGAGGATGGACAGAAAATTAATCACACAATTGTCTTCATTGTTAAGCCATTTGAAAGCCTGTGGAGTTTCTGAAGCTAGGATGAAGACTGAAACCATCATAGTTTTCATGTGAACTATGCAAAAATCATGTTTGTACTCAACAAATTTTTTGTGTGGATCGGGACGAATTTGCGGATCTGAAAATATATTTCTTGAAATTTTTCACAGACTTCCCAGCAAATTATTTATGGATCTTCAGGGGGGAAAATCAGGCATTCTTAAGGGACTGATATTTATGAGTGCAGGCAGTGTGGTGCGACATGATTGAATTTAAGGAGAGCGTCTGGCCTTGGCGGAGGTATGGGCTCTACTTAGTGCCATTCTATTTATACAAAAATGTGCTTTAGAAATTGAATTTCCTCGTTCTGATTATTAGTCATGGTGGTCCACCTTAGCAGTGACTGCTCCTCAGTGCAGTAATCCTGAATGAAGTGTTTAGGCCTTGAGCCTGACAGGAAACATGAATGAGGAATGAGTTTGTTTGTTGTGATCTGGAATATGGGCCTGGGTGTTAGCCAGCCTGCTATGACATTTATGTCAGTCTGCAGTAACTTGGCAATATCAAAGGGGTGTCAATTCTCTGTCGGGTTAGATCTTTACTCCTCATGTTGGGATAATAATTCACATCGAAAATATCAAAGAGGCGTTTTTACTCTTGATACTATATATAGCCTCTGTTCACACAACACACTGTTTTATAATTTTTTATCTGAAATCATATTTTAATCATATGTGTATGGGATTTCTATAGATGGAGCGTTATGGACAAATACCTCCTAATATTTGTCTCTGTCTTCAGATGTTATCGGTGTCTGTAAGAGTGTGGAAGATGTATCCCGGATCACCACGAAAACCAGCAGAGAAGTCTCCAAGAGGGCCCTCAGCCTAATAGACGCAACAGGCACAGTGGTGACAGTCACACTGTGGGGAGAGGAGGTAACGACTATAATCCTTCTATCTGTCTCCCTGCTCTCCCTCTGCATCCAGGGATGGATTTTTAATGTAAAAACATGTTGAGCAGACTGTAATTAATCGTGTGTTTATAAAGGTGTCCATGCGTGTATGTATCCGTGTCAGTGCACATAGCACAACAGTGTGTGTGCTCTTGCATGCAGAGCAGTTTGATTGCGTTTCCTGGGCCGGAAAATTTGAATTGGTCAAATCATTCCTGTGACCTTCAGGAGTGTTTTGGACCGTAGTCCCTGATTTGAGACGAAGGGCTAAATAACTCTCGAATGTGCATGAAATGGTGCTATTCTTCTCTAAGCTCATTCAATCTGCAAGAGCTAATCCCTCCTCTTTGCTAAAATCCAAAAATGACTTTCAAATTAACTTGTAGGTTGTGCAATTATCAAAGCAAACTACACTGCATATTGCTTTCCAAGCCGTAGACATAGACTCAACATACAAGAAACAAGAACACAACTGCTTTTGCTGTCTGTTGTGTTCAGACTGTCTCTCCTCAATTACCTTCATTGGTGCAGTTTTTTTTCTTTCTTTCTCCAGGCAGAGAAGTTTGACGGCAGAGAGCAGCCTGTGGTCGCTATCAAAGGGGCTCGCTTGTCTGATTTTGGAGGCATATCTCTCTCCGCTTTGTTCAGCTCAACTGTCATGGTCAACCCAGACATACCAGAGGCTTTTAGACTGAGGGCCTGGTGAGTCAGTGGTGTGCAGTGCTCACACACAAACACGCACACATTCAAAACACATATAGAAAGGTCTATACAGTGTTGTCATGCTGGCATGTGCAGAGTCCATGGACACTCATCACAAGACATGTGTGTAAACATTAAGATATCACTCTAATAATAAACACTAAACACACACACACACACTCACAAGCCCAGATGATCACGTGTCAAGAACCTGGTGGCGTGTGCCTCATCAGTCCCAGTGGGACTCTAGACAGGAAATAGAAAGGATTGGAGGTTGGGAATAAAAGAAAAGCAGAACGTGGATATTTCTGGATTCTAGCTCTGAACTGGTTCAGTATGTGCGCAGAGAGACGGTGCACACAAAGAGCCACATCAAACTGGATTCCAGTTCCTGTGGAGGGTTTTGAATTATGACTCATACGCTCATTAGGGCTGTTCCCAAGTCTGGCCACTGCTGAAAAGAATGGGCCTTTTTTCTTTTTATTACCTGTGTGTATGTATTAGGCTTCAGTGTGCATGTGATTACCTTAGAGTTACACGGAAATCTATTCTTGTAGAATTCAATCAAAAAACATCCTCACAGCTTCAGTGTGTTACAGTAAATAAAGGAGCGTGCATCATGGTACCTGAGGGCATTGTTGTGTTCAATCTTTCACTCGTTAATGTCTGCTTCATAAATTTAGCTAATTGGTCCTTTCACAACATTGTCTGACATTTTTTGCTTGTCTCTTGATGCCTTTCCTTGTGCCATAATCTACCTTTGAGGAAAAGCAGTTAATGAATGACAATGACTGTTTTTCATGGGGAAACTCCTTTTAACAGTGAGATCTTCACGAGGAGTGTCTGTCTGACTCGAGTTCCTGTGGCGATGTGGTGCGTTGTGGGATTGTTTTGACCGGGCTCGCTGTTAATTGAAAGAAAGGGATGAATTTGGATGATGCCCTGGTTAGATTGTTCTGCTCATCTAAAATAAAGAGCAGGAGTCACTCCGATGCATTAAGATTTTAAAGGGCATGTTTAAAAAGGTAGATAAATGAATAGATGAAGTGGGTAGACAAGAGCACAGATGAGTTTTGTTCCTCTCTTCTTTCCCCCAGTGTATATGGCCTGAAATATATTTAAAGATTAAAGGCTGATTGATGTATGAATGCATTTCGACAGCAGTCAGTATGTCAGATAAAAGAGATGGCAGAGTACAGATGCAGTGGCTGTGAATCAGTTCAGTCAGAGATTAAGGGGGAAATTCAGTCATGGCTGAAGATGGTTTCTTTAGATAGCAATAGACAAATACAGTGTCATGTGTAATACAACTCAGTTTCTCCTTCAGAGGACAAATCAAAGTGTGGTAATACAACATGTTCATATAAACAAACATACTTACAATGCCATTTTCAAAATAAAGATGGAATATATATGACTAATATAAAGAGTGCACCCTCTGTAATATAATAACCTCAGTATTAAGGGATCATTATATCTGCTAGGTATGCTCTGTTTGTGGTTTTCTTTATGATTATCAACCACTTTTAGTTGCTTCTTTCGCTCTGTCTCCCTACACCTGACATAATGTATGTCATATTTCACATGTATGAGTCTGTAAGTGTGTTTTGATGCTCAGGCGTGTTTGCGCATAACTTTATTTGAATGTTTGCTGTGTGTGTTTTCATGTGCAGGTACGACCAGGGGGGCTTCACTCTCAAAAGCCAATCCCTGACCAACACAAGGTCAGCGAGTAGCGGAACAAAGATAAACTGGAAAACACTGAGTGATGTGAAGAACGAAAACATGGGACATGGAGAGAAGGTACAGTGCACAAAGGCCGACATACAAACTGCACACGCAGCAGGGAATTCATCTAAAATGCAAAAATCTTGAAATCAGGGCAGACAGAAACATAATTACTGTCACGGCTGGACACAATTAGTTATTAAAATTAAAGGTCAGAGAGAGAATCTGAGTGATTGTTTTCCCAGGTGGTAGAACGAGCATCCACTCTTATGTCACTCAGTAGTTTGCTTCCCAACTCCTCTAGTCCTTAGATGCTGAAGCCCAAATTGCCCCTTAAGTACCATTGTTGAATGAATATGACGGTATTTTAAAGCGTGTTGAGTGGTCCATTAGACTAAAAACGATATATAAAGCAGCTCATTTATCATTTACCAATTGAAGATCAAGTAAGTGGTGGAAATAGCAAGCGGTGAATACATAATGTAAGTTTGTATGTCTTCATTTCACAGAATTTATTACATATATGTTTAGTGTTTCAGTTTCATTGGCTCTTTTATTGCTCCATGTAACTCAGGGTTTGATGTTTGAGTTTTACATTGACTCAGTCTTTCGTTTTTGAGTCACAGAGAAGTGAGATCTACAGTAGATCAATAAAACCACAAGGTGTGTAAGAACAAAAAAGAAACCTGTTTTATTTCTGTTGCAGTTTTAGTTGGATCATTGAGGCGACTCTACAAAAAATTTGGCTGGAAACAGATTTAGGTGTGAGTCAGTAAATCCCTCTGTCACTCAGGCAGCTGGCTGCTGTTTAAAGAGGAAGGAGAGAAACCCCACACAGATGACATAATATCAGCATAGCCACAGTAATCAGACAGAAAATCTTCCTGTGATGTTGGTGAACACTGGGTTTTGGTGTCAGTCCCTCACAATCAAACGTTTAGCTTCACTGGTTCGAAGCAACATTTCACAGTCGCACCACATCAGCTTCTTCACGTTGATGGTCTTTGACTTTAAGAGTAAATCATCTTGACCTCTTTCACTTACTTACTTACTTAATCTAATGATGAATACCATAAATCTAGAAATCTCAAATCAAACCAAACTCAACACTGCCCTTCCTTCAGCTCTTAACAATACACACGCCAGGTTTGATGCCGATAAGATAAGTGCTTCTGGTGATATGCCTTCCACACACAAGCAGACATACAGTATATTTGGAATAGTTGGTTTGACCACAAAGTAGAAAACTGACATCAGGTGTGCTTAAAACTCCTGCTGCTGAACATCAGTAAACATAAATGTTAATTTGCGTTTGGGGGCTTTTTAGTTGGTTTGTTTTTTCAGCCATACAGAGATCATCCTGAAAGCCTCTTATTCAAACTATCACAGATAATATTCTGTGAACAGACACGGGTTTAGTGATTTATAAGACTGACTGCTTCCTCGTCTCATTTCAATGTAAGCATTTAGACAAACACAAACCCACAGTCAGTCTTCCATTCATGGTAAACACAGCAGCTCTCGGTTTTACTTTGCTATGACGTCGTGGATTAGTATCATGAATCTCTTGCTGCAGCCTTTGGAAGGGGATAGCAATGTGAACACATCAGCTGCAATGAATAAGTGCCATACATGATTGGAGTAGCATATGTAGAAGTATCAAATTTAACTGTTTGCCATTTAAAGAAGTGTCATCGCAAAGAATTATCCTTGTTTTAACTAAAAGTAGAGCTAATAGCTGTGGGTGCCTTGCATAAACTTCCCATCTATTTTATTAGCTTTATTTTCCAGTCGTCTCCATCATTCCTCATATTTAATTAGAAGCCACATATGGGTAGCTCCTGCATCAATGTCATTTCTCGTAAGAAATTCTAATTACGTGCTGGAGGTGGAGGAAGCCTCAGGGCATAACATTACCAGGAGGGATATGGCGAGGGCTGAGATTGTGGTAGAGTGAGAAGGTGTAGAAAAGCCAGGCACAGCCACTTAAACTTCTTGTCACTTACAAAGCTGTGTCGAAGGATGGAAGGAAACAAGGGCACAGGAAGAAGAAGAGTGTGGAGACAAAGAGAGACAAGTGTCAAGGGATATTTAGAGAAGGATAGAGATTGGAACAGTTAACCGGCAGTAGTGAGAGAAGGAGATGAAAGGTGAGAATGTGTAAATAATTCAAGCTCTTTTTTTTTTCCTCCTCTTTTAGTTCCTTCCCTTATTCTTTCTCTGTCTGTGCTTTGTTTACCCCCGAACGCTTCTGTAATTGAACGCCTTTAAGGAGGAAGTCTGTCACATACTCTGAGGCTGCTTTCGTTCTAATAATGAAATCCAAATCATTAGCTTAAACTTTGAAGCTATCTAATATGACATTCCACCTGTTTGCCTCCATGTACTGTATGTGTGAGACTGGTGTGTACAAGCCATTTCTAATTAATGTCAATTATGTGAGGAAGACTTTCACATGGCTGCCCTTCCACATACAAATTTTAATTGCATTTAGGTGCCAGAAGGTGACACAGGAATTTGCTGTGATGAGAATGAAAACTATTTTGTGTGTGTGTGTGTGTGTGTGTGTGTGTGTGTGTGTNGTGTGTGTGTGTGTGTGTGTGTGTGTGAGAGAGAGAGAATCTCTAGGTTAGTCGTCACACATCCTTCAATGTTTCTGAGCCTGAGCGTTTTTGTGTATCTGTTATTGCGTGCAGCGTTAGTCATGCTGTTCTTCTTGGTTCTCCACAGTGTGCTTAAGGTTAAGACTTTGCCCCAAGGCGTCTGTGTACACACTGGGATTTAGAGGGAGAGGGAAAACAAACGCTCACAAGGACAAGGGGAGAGATGATGGCAAGTGCAGGGGGATTTATTTAGAGTGGTCTTGTTGTGAGGGAACAGTTACGGTCCAGATCCTGCTGACCTCCACCCTCATATTCTTGGCAGCATCTGCCAACACCACGTGCCGTGAAAGAGCCTCGACTGAAAGCATCCTGTACTTTTCTCCCTGCCATGTCCACCCTCCTACCACCTTCCCCGCCCATCGCCTTCCCACCTCTCCAGGCTCCCAGCGATCTCATCTGCCCAAGTCTAAAATGTGATGAGGCAGGCACACTAGCAGAAACATGGGAGTGGAGTGTTGAGGACGAGAGGGCTATTGCTAACGGGAGAAATTCTCCTAATTAATAAAACCTTCTGAGTAAGTGTTTTTTTTTTTGGGAGGGGTGATCTTGCTGTGTTGCATGGGCGCTGGGTCGATGGATGGGTGGACAGATTATGATGCTGTGAGTCAGTGTTAGCTCGCGGGAAGAAAGTGTCAGAGAGCTCTAAGTCTGACTGACAGTATCTGTAGAGGTCGCGGGGATGCAGGACTCATCATCAACCATCTCGCAAGGAAGGCAGAGAACACAATTGTCTTTTCACATTCAATGCTCTTACCGAACACTTCATGCAAACTGTGGGTTGTATAACGAAGGAGCAGCAATCCTCAGTCAGTGTGTGTGTACGTGTGAATTTGGCCTGTATCCTAAAGAGAGTCTTTGATGGACTCATTAAGGCCAACATTAGAAATGAGTCTGGCCCAGTTCGAGCTTGTAGTTGCTGTTGTTTCGAATTCATTTTAAAGCATTTCATTTTGCATTCTGGCTGTAATTCCAACATCTTGTTTAAAGTCTGGTTAAACAAGGATTTTTACTGGTTTCTTACATACAACGTACAGCACATGTATCGGTTTGTGCTTGCACTTGTGCGTCTGTTTATTTGCATGCGGGCGTGGACACATGTATGGGCCTCTTACCGATGAGACATCTGCTTTGTGCATTCTTTGTATTTATATTTATGGAAATCAAATGCTGTGCTTCTCCACTGGATGAGAGAATATTTCTTCCCCCAGAATTGGCATTTCTTTCCCTTTTTTTGCTGTTGGTTTTACCAGTGTGAGTTCTGCTGCCTAAGGTGCTAATATCTGTTTAAATTACTGCAACATCGCTGCATTTTAATTTGATTCTGTTTGACTGTGTACACTTTAATTTAAATTCATAACTGAAAGAACTCTCGCTCATTGTATATGTATTGCAAATGTGTAAGTTTGGGTCTTTGCATATAAACTTGCATGTCAGACGTGTGTGTGTGTGTACATTAGCACAATTTATGTATATGAGAGATGCGGAGAGATTCATCTCATCTTCCATCTATTATGCATAGAATTCTCAAACTCTCCCTGCTTTCTTTTTAAACTCGTCCAAGATTGTTTGGAAGTCAAATAGAGATCTGTAAACAGCGTGCATCTACCAGCTGGACTGACTTTCTGGAAACAGTTTCATTTATGATGCCAAGTTTGATCTGAGTTTATTTTTATTTTATTCAATGTTTCTCTCTCCACCCTAAGCAGCAAATTCATTTTCTTGAAGTTTGTCCTGCCGGCACTAGAAGGACAACTTTTGCGCATCCTCATCTCTTACATGTTTGATGAGCTTTAGTTTTATGGTATTTGCTCTGTGTTGCTAAGTTATGATTTAAAGATATCAATAATGATAAAAAAAGAAAAAGTTTTAGCATTCAAATGAGAACAAAGACCATTTGATGAGTTTCTTTTTATCGCTGTTTGCTAATGCTGCTGTTATGTGTCTGACATCAAGGATATTATTCAGATAAACCTTTCCTGTAGTGGCAGCATTATTGTTTTTTAAGTTATCAACTACTGCTGTTTTAGGCTACTTGACCTGCAGTTGTACCCCAACAGGAAAGACTTTTGAAGTATTGTGACTGCACTGTACACTACGATTGTACTGTGATTGTAACTCTTGTGTGGACCAGTGATTACTCATTGTGTGCCACCTGTTATCTTGTTCATCTACCAAGATGCAGCCTCCTACATAACAAGCACTTTGATGAGGTGTCTTTTTCCGGTTTATTCACTGTGGGCCTTTTAAAATTGCAATGTCCATTCTTCTTCCTCCAGCACACATAGTAATCAAAAACATTTTTTACACCATCCCCTGGTAAAAAGCATGACACTTACAGACAGAGAGGATCTACATCCTTAAATTTCAAAATCAGACAAAGATGATTACTCAACCAGGACCTGTTGACACAAATAAAATAAGATTTAAAAATATGTTGTGTTTTAAGCAAATGCTCTCTACAGAAAGTTCGAGATAGTTTTGAATAATGTCAACAGTAAAGGGGTCGTCATAAATATCACAATTTACATGAAGACATTTTCAGCTAAAGAAATCCATTATCCAGCATTATACAGCAATAACAGATAACCTCTTGTGTGTTATGTAGGCATGAATTTTTCATATGATGTATTTTTTTTCACGTTGAAAAGGAACACTGTTTTACTCAAGACTTCAAATAATGAGTTGTTTTTTGGGATTAAAAAATCAGGCAGCTGTAAGAGCAGCTAAAGTCATCTTTATTTTTTAAATATCTGCCAATATCACAAGCAACAACCAAAACAGTCCAATGAGAAAGCTACAAGTTAAACATGGAAAGAGATGATCACACTCAAATATACAGAGTGCAACTCAAACAGGCTCTGTAATTAAATGATTGTGTTAAGGTTCAATTGGTTTGGAATATTTTCCCCGCTTGTAACTTGATTTGCAAGTTTGAGTTCTCCTCAGCACAATATCGTGTAAGGAGGCAGCACCTGCAAATCGACTATACTCTCTTAAACGTTCAAATTGCAGCAGTTTGATGTGATTTGGCACTTTTTATTGATCTTTTTGCTCTATCCCCATAATTAGATTTCTTCCTCTTCCATTTCCTCTCTCCATTCAGGCAGACTACTTCAGCTGTGTGGCGACATTGCTGTACACTCGTAAGGAGAATTGTCTGTACCAGGCCTGTCCATCTGCGGACTGCAAAAAGAAGGTTATAGACCAACAGAACGGGATGTACCGCTGCGAGAAGTGTAACCGAGAGTTCCCCAACTTTCAGTACAGACTCCTACTCTCTGTAAGTGCATACAGTGCACATCATTAATGCCTGTTTGACACACATACCATGATTCTGACTGCAAGAAATACTGTATCTTCTGTTATCACACATACACACACCCAAACATGCACATAAATAATCTCTCTCCCCTTCATCATCCCCGTCTGTCTAACTCTCAGGCCAACTTGGCAGACTTCGGGCAGAACCAGTGGGTGACATGCTTCCAGGAGACAGCTGAGGTCTTGTTGGGACACAGTGCACAAACACTGGGCGAGCTAAGAGACACAGTAAGAGACACACACACACACACACACACACACACACACACACACACACAAACACAAACACAGTCTCTCTATAGTTGTGATGACACTCATTGGCATAATGCATTCCCTAGCCCCTTAACCATCACAACTAATTGCCTGACCTTGACTTAACCTAATTCTAACCCTAAAATCAAGTCTTAACCCTCGAACAACCCTTTGAATTTGTGAGGCTAAGATGTACTCACGTCAGTGTCCTCATAATTAGGGTATAGAACCTCATAACTATAGAAAGACAAGCTCACACTCATACACACACACAGTTCTGCAAGAATTAGTCTGTCAGACAAGAAAACTGCCTTCAACGTTTTTCCAGGAGGTCTTTAACAGATTACTACAGTCAACATTGTGTGTGTGTGTGTGTGTGTGTGTGTGTGTGTGTGTGTGTGTGTGTGTGTG